TGGTGGAGGTTCCTTGCAAGTTTGGGGCTGCATTTTTTTTTTAAATGGAGGTGGAGATTCAGTCAGGAACAATGGTGTCCTCAATGCTGAGATACCTGTATATATCCATCATGTCACGTCCATGCCATCACACTGCCTCTGCCATGTTGTGTGCTGTTACAAGCCTTCTACACACTTTTTTCTTCCCTTCATTCTGGTACAGATTAATCTTAGTTTCAACCGTCCAAAGAATGCTTTTCTAGAACTGGTCTGGCTTTTTAAGATGTTTTTGGCAAAGTATAATCTGGCTTTTCCATTCTTCCAGCTTATGAAAGGTTTGCACCTTGTGGTGAACCCTCTGTATTTGCTCTCGTGAAGTCTTCTCTTGATTGTAGACTTTGACAATGATACACATACCTCCTGGAGAGTGTCCTTCACCTGTCTGGATGTTGTGAATGGGTTTTTCTTTACCAGAGAGGATCCTGCAAACATCCACCACTGTTGTCTTCTGTGGATGTCCATGCCTTTTTATGTTGCTGTGCACTAGTGCATTCTTCTTTCCTCAGAATGTACAAAACTGTTGATTTGGCCACTCCGAATGATTTGTTTTGTGTTTGAAGCCTCACAATAGCCTGTTTCACTAGCATGGACAGCTCCTTTGAATTCATGATGTAGGTTCACAGCAATAGATTCCAAATGCAAATACCACACTTAGAATCAACTCCAGACCTTTAACCAGCTTAATTGATGAAGAAATAACGAAGGAGTAGCCCACACCTGGCCATGAAACAGCTTTTGATTCAACTGGCCAGCTACTTTTGGTCCCTTGAAAAAAGGGGGGATTGCTATTCTTAAGAGCTGTAATTCCTAAACCCTCCCTCCAATTTGGATGTACATAACCTCAAATGAAACCCAAGAGTGAGCACTTTCAGCCCATATCGGATTATATGACTATAGCTTGAGTATGTTTTGCTGAATACCTGAAAAAAATCTAAAATTGTGCTTGTGTTCAAATATATATGGGCCTAACTGTATACACACACACACTTGAAAAAGTATTCATACCCCTTGAGATTTTCCACATTTTGTCATGTTACAAACAAAACCGTAAATGTATTTTATTGGAATTTTATGTGTTAGAGCAACACAAAGTGGCACATAATTGTGAAGTGGAAGGAAAATGGTTTTCACATTTTTTTACAAATACAGTAAATGTGAAAAGTGTGGTGTGCATTTGTATTCGGCCCCCCTTAGTCAATACTTTGTAGAACCACCTTTTGCTGCAATTACAGCTGGAAATCTTTTTGGGGATGTCTCTACCAGCTTTGCACATCTAGAGAGTGACATTTTTGCCCATTCTTCTTTGCAAAATAGCTCAAGCTCTGTCAGATTGGATGGAGAGCGTCTGAACAGCCATTTTCAAGTCTTGCCACAGATTCTAAATTGGATTTAGGCCTGGACTTTGACTGGGCCATTCTAACACATGAATATGCTTTGATCTGAACCATTCCATTGTAGCTCTGGCTGTATGTTTAGGATCGCTGTCCTGCCAGAAGGTGAACTTCCACCCCAGTCTCACGTCTTTTGCAGACAGGTTTTCTTCTAAGATTGCCCTGTATTTGGCTCCATCATTCTTCCCATCAATGTTGACTAGCATCCCTGTCCTTGCTGAAGAAAAGCATCCCCACATTCCAAGTTTGCTCTGTCTCCCACATGGCTTCTCACAAACTGCAAGCAGGACTTCTTATGGCTTTCTTCCAACAATGGCTTTCTTCTTGCCATTCTTTCACAAAGGCCAGATTTGTGGAGTGCACGACTAATTGTTGTCCTGTAGACAGATTCTCCCCCTGAGCAGTGGATCTCTGCAGCTCCTCCAGAGTTACCATGGGCCTATTGGCTGCTTCTCTTGGCCAGCCTGTCAGTTTAGGTGAACAGCTATGTCCTTGGTTGCTTTGCAGTTGTCATATTCTTTCCATTTTCACGTGATGGATTGAACAGTGCTACGTGAGACGTTCAAAGTTTGGGATTTTTTTTATAACATAACCTTGCTTTAAATTTCTCCTTAACTGTATCCATGTGGTGTATTCCATCAGGTGTGCACATGGCCTTCTTCACTAATGTTCTGTAACAAACCTCTGAGGGCTTCACAGAACAGATTTATACTGAGATTAAATTACACACAGGTGGACTAATTAGTTGACTTCTGAAGGCAATTGGCTCCACTAGATTTTAGTTAGGGGTATCAGAGTAAAGGGGGGTGAATACAAATACACGCCACACTTTTTAGATATTTACTTGTAAAAAATTTTAAAACCATTTATCATTTTCCTTTCACTTCCCAATTATGTGCCACTTTGTGTTGGTCTATCACATAAAATCCCCCAAAAATACATTTACTTTTTTGGTTGTAATTTGACAAAATGTAGAAAATTTCAAGCTGTATGAATAATTTTTCAAGGCACTGTATATATTTATAAAAATAAACAGGGCTTGATTTTCAGCCAGAACATATCGGAACACCTCCAGCTCTGGTCTTCTTTTCACCGCAGTCACTCCTAAACACAGAAGCCCAGCTTGTGTTCAGAACTGACAGATTACTTCTCCCAATTTTGTGCACAGATCACTCCCTGCCCTACACTCAGCACAGGGACAAGGGAGATGCAGGAGCACATAGTGCAGTGCAGTTATGGGAAAAAAGGCATTGTAGGCGGCACATTCTAAATGACCCTGATCCGTTTCCTGATGCCGATGATCTTACAGCAATCGAGAAACTGGGTGGTTCAAAAAGTAGAAAAAAAAAGTAGAAACAAAAGTAAGACACCTGCTGAAGCCCCTAACTCTGCACTCTGTGCGTCGCGCAGCCTCACACTCTGACCATGACCATGCAGGTTGAGGGGGGGGGGGGGGGGGGGGGGAGATACACACACACACACACACACACACACACACACACACACACACACACACACACACACACACACATATATATATATATATATATATATAAAGCCATATACGTGTATAAATACACACACACACTCAAAGATGTTGGTAACATACATACAAACTTTAACTGAGCAATCAGAATAATGATACTAATTGTTCTGCCTTTCCAGTAGTAAGTGTGAATTTTTAATTTATGACCATATAAACTTCCACAAGATGCAGTTTTGGTTTAAAATCAGAAAACCCACTCAGAAAGGCTAAATTGTTCTTCACAATTATATGTTTCACAGTACAGACTGCATTTTTGCAATAACACAGGCCTTGTACAGAAGACTAGAAGGCGCACACACCTACAATATTGCCTGACAAAGTTCTCACTCAGATTTTAAGAATCAAAACCTCAGAACAAAAATGTATATATTGCAGCTTATTGATTCTTCAGTATGGTGGATATGCATTACATGTTCTGTTTTTCAGATTTTTTTTTTTTTTGGCCTTTTATTACATCTTGTGATCTTGCCAGTAACACACTGTCTTAGGATAACACTCACTGTACTTTAAAAGCAGCATAGTCATCCTAGAACAGAACTACAATAACCTCCCTCTCTCCTCCATAACAGTGGGGAGGAGTTATGTAGTCCTCAGAGACAGTTCAGAACAATAACATGATAAGAGTGCAGCACAGAAAGTGGTCTTGCAGACAAGATTTCTGGAAGAATCAACAGATTGAAAAACTATCATATTTAACAGACCAAGAGGGACCAAAACAAGAGAAGTTAATTGTTAGGCTTTACATATCCTTTAGGTACGTTGATAAAGCTGGGGCCTCCATACTGCACTGAAGAAACATTGCACATAGACAACAGTGAAATGCAATGCAACAACAATGCACTACGGTGACACCAAGGTCAGAAAGGAAAGTCAAAACTGTACCAAACTTCACAAATATGAATTACTCCATATAGGAATATAAAAAAATGAATAAAATATTAGGAAAACTTAAATAATGAACTTAAAGCAGAACTAAACCTTTCTGTCTTTTATAGCCAAGAAAGCTGCCCTCTTGGTCTCTGATCTGCAATTGCCATAGTGCTGCATGTCATCAGTTATGACACCAGCCATTTGATGGTTTGACACTTTGGTTAAAGGATAAGTTCACCTTTTTAAAATAAAATAATTAATGCACATCTTTTTGCAGGTAAAAAGAAATTGTTTTTTTTATTGGAGCCTTTAAAGTGTTACTAAACCCAGGACCCTGTATTCACTATATCTGTTCACCAACAGTACACAGAAATGCAATTATTTTAGTAAATATAAACTGCCAAGTACTTTTTCTCATCAACAGTCTTGTGACCTCTATCAGTGTCCAGCTGGGCACTAGTTAAAGCTTGCAGGAGGAGTTTTCATTCTCCCTTATGAGGCTGCAGGTCCCCTGATGCTTTGTCTGTACAGTGCTGATTGGCCCTGCGCAGATCCCATGCACTCTCCCTAGAAAAAGAAAAACCACTCTAGTAGTACACACCAAACCAGCATGTGCAGAGTGTCCCTGAGGCTCTGTTCTATCAGCAGATGAAATGGGAACAGTGAAAGAAGGGGAGGATCAGAGAAGACAGGATCAAACATTCTTTTTACACAATGCAGAGCATTAACCCCTTAAGCTCCACAGTGAGTATAACAAGCATGCTTTACTGCATATAAAGACTGATTTTACTGTTGTGGGTTTAGTAACACTTTAAAGCATTGCACCCGTGATCAGCAGATTGAGAGTGCCATGCAGGATTCCTGCAGACTTGTCAGTGTATCGGTCTGCTCGTACCTCGTACGGGCAGGCAGATATACACTGACAGGAAGAGAGGATGAAGTAACACAGAGCTCAACAGTGCCATGGTAGTTCATTGAAAAGTACAAGCTAACAGCCACAAAGGCTGTCTTTAGATTGTGGCAGCGGGAGGGAGGGGGGGGGGGGGCGGATCAGAAGAATCCTGCCACTGCAATTTGCACTGGCCTAATTTGCGTGTGAATGTAGCCTTAATGTTTATTAGTTAGTGCAGACAAATACAAGAACAATAATTTACCTTATTCAGATCATTATTGCATGTACCACTCATATTCAGACTATTCCATAAGAACGTACTGGCTTTCTCACATTGAGTGAAAGCATTTTGTGAACTCTCAGTCTTTCCCAATACAGACATTTGCATGGCTCTGCACATGTATACTACAGCTTTTACCAAGGGGTTCCTGAAAAACAAAAGCATGTCACAGAAAAGGGACAGTTTACTCTTTTCAATAGTTTTAAAAATGTTGTACATATATAAAGAGGATCAACTTAGAGTAAATGTTTTTATTAAAGTTCATTCATAATAATGAAAAAAAAAAAAAAAAAAAAAAACACGGCACAGGATGATGGAAAACAAAGGGGAGAGAAGCAGACATGAAAAGAACGTAAACATTGTTAAGGAGAGTGTGTGGTGGGAGTGCAACAATGAGGAGGGCAACAGGGACAGAGAAGTGCTACAAGAGCCATGAACATGTAATACTGTGTGGGATGGAACAAGGACTGACACAGAACAGGAGATGATCTTCTGCAAAGGAGAGCAGAGAGGGGAGTGAACACAGGGAGACAGGAGTATACTTAGTGAGGGTGTAAAGACATTTCTGTGCAAGAAGCATCCAGTGCCCTTCTCTTTTGGCATTATACAGGGTATAGGAAGGATAGATCTGTGTATCGAAGAGACCATCTCACTGCTGGCATAAACACTGGGAAGTGAGGTATGTGTGCTAGGGGCAGGATGCAGGGGAAAGACAGCATGTCCTGGAGATGAGCACCCACCACATTGGAGGTAGAATTCTCCATTTGCAAAAATAATACTTCTTGGTGCCAAGCTTATTTGCACCCAAAAGTACCAACCATTACAAAAAAAATAACATCTAGATCAGATACAGAAAATGGGGAATTAAGGTAGAATCCCCAACACCTCTAGAGATACATGTGTTCATAGTCAGCTTCCCTTTGATACTATAAAAAATCCTCCTCTGTCCTAAACATAACCTTCTTGACCCTGAGCCTCTTTTGGCAAATGCACCCAACACAAGAATAAAACCGCAAGACTCTGGAAACAGAACAATGCTGTACTTTCAAAAGAAATGTCAACATTTGCAAATGATTCCTGTGTCTCTATCTCTGAATATACTCTTTTCTTCAAATTTTTAAAGCCAGTTAACCTGTGCTTAAGATTTTTTTCAGCAAATGCTTAGTTTGAATCCGCAGGTTTGACAGGTTTACCTTAATACCTCGGACACATTATTTGAAAGCCTAGATAACAAATACAATGAAGAGTAAAGGAGGTACATTTCTAGGGACAAGTAGCTATAAAGTAACCTTCTACCAGGTAACATATGTTTCTATACTTATAAATAAGGACATACTCAGCATCTAGGAGCTTGGGAAGTCTTTCAGCATCCATATACTGAGATTTCACAGAAGAATCATCACCCTGAAGCCAACCAATCGCCATTGAGGATACTGCATACCACCATCGACAAATAGGATCCGTACCTGTAAGACATTATAAAGGTTTATTTTCAAGATTATTAACCTTAAACCTCATCATGTGTAGTCACACACTAATGTAGCTTATTACAATTAGCACACTAAATTGTTTGTTATGGTTGGAATAAACTAGTGTCTCAGATATGAGATTACGCTAATGTGCTTGAGGACAAACCTGCCTTCTTTAAATTGGATTTTACTGATAGAGCACAAAAGGACTGTGACATAATTGAAACCTGGTCCTTGTGTAAAGCTTTGCAAAAAAAAAAAAAACCAGAGTGTATGTATGTATGTATGTATGTTTGTTATGTTAGATATACACAGTTGTGTTCAAAATAATAGCAGTCAGACATCACTAACCTGATCAATCACTGTTTTTGGTAGAAATGATATTTCTACATGGCAAATAATTTACTAGCAGGTGTAGTAGAGTAATAGAAATCCAACAGACCCAACAGTCATGACATGCATGCTGCTGATTGTGTAATTGAATCACTAAATGAAAGGAGCATGTTCAAAATAATAGCAGTGTGGGCATGCTGGAGTCATTTCAAATCCACTTCTACATATCACAGAATAGTAAATGATCAATCTAGATCCATGGATTGAATTTCCTAACACAATGCTGTATCGAGGAATACCCGGTTCACCGAAGACGCTTTTATCACACATAAAGATAGGCTGTAGTGCGATATCATGATATGTTTTACGGGGTTTCTGATCCATGTGTTACCCCACTGTCTGATCTTGCATGTAACATATACTAAGCTATATTACCTTTCCGGCTCGGCTAATACTTAGGGAGGTGATCCATTTTAACTTTCTATTGCCTATATACGCTACTGCCACTCGACCCATTCCCCCCCCATTATTTTTTTTTTTTTTTTTTATCCCACCTATCATCTCATCCTACATCTCTTTTTCTTGCTGTTCTTCTTTCTGACCTCTCTCTTTTTTTTACACCTGTTATACCACCTTATCAGTCATTCTTCACCAACCAAATAATGCTTTCACCCTCACACAGATAGGACACACTTCATCTGTATTATACACTTAAACTATAAACATGTGAACCATGACTTTAACAACATCTAATGCTTTCCAGGCTCTAATCCTCATATCACCTCATCATTAAGCATTGCTGATACTCAAGACGAGATGACATACACCTGCAGTGTTGTACCTACTCTCCTCTACGTATTCAATGGTTTGAATTGTAAGCTTGATGTATTGTTCTACACTATGTTGTTTTGTATTCCGGTTTACACTAAATCCCGTCTGCGAAACGGAAAGCAATATTTCATGTCTGTGTTCTGACTGTGCTTTATAGCTGTATATGCTCTATATGCTATCTTGTCTATTCTTATATTAATAAAATATTTTTGGAAGAAAAAATAATAGCAGTGTGGAGTTCTATTAGTGAGGTCATTCATTCTTTGAAAAACAGGTGGCAATTATTGCCTTTATTTAAGGAAGGAAGGCAGCAAATGTTGTACATGCTGGTTACAGTGCATTTCTCTCTGAAATTCTGAGGAAAATGGGTCGTTCCAGACATTGTTCAGAAGAACAGCGTACCTTGATTAAAAAGTTGATTGGAGAGGGGAAAACATATAAAGAAGTGCAGAAAATGATAGGCTGCTCAGCTAAAATGATCACAAATGCTTTAAAATGGCAACCAAAACCTGAAAGACGTGGAAGAAAGCAAAAAACTACCATTCGAATGGATAGAAGAATAGCCAAAATGGCAAGGACTCAGCCAACAATCAGCTCCAGGAAGATCAAAGAAGGTGTAAAGTTACCTGTGAGTACTGTTACAATTAGAAGACGCCTATGTGAAGCCAAGCTATCTGCAAGAAGCCCCTGCAAAGTCCCACTGTTGAAAAAAAGACATGTGCTGAAGAGGTTACAATTTGCCAAAGAGCACATTGACTGGCCTAAAGAGAAATGGCGCAACATTTTGTGGACTGATGAAAGTAAGATTGTTCTTTTTGGGTTTAGTGGCCGGAGACAGTTTGTCAGACGACCCCCAAACACTGAATTCAAGCCACAGTACACTGTGAAGACAGTGAAGCATGGTTGCGCAAGCATCATGATATGGGGATGTTTCTCATACTATGGTGTTGGGCCTATTTATCACATACCAGGGATCATGGATCAGTTTGAATACATCAGAATACTTGAAGAGGTCATGCTGCCTTATGCTGAAGAGGAAATGCCCTTGAAATGGATGTTCCAACAAGACAACGACCCCAAACACCAGTAAACGTGCAACATCTTGGTTCCAGACCAACAAGATTGACGTTATGGAGTGGCCAGCCCAATCCCCGGATCTTAATCCAATAGAAAACTTGTGGGGTGACATCAAAAATGCAGTTTCTGAGGCAAAAACCAAGAAATAGAGAAGAACTGTGGAATGTAGTCCAATCATCCTGGGCTGGAATACCTGTTCACAGGTGCCAGAGTTGGTTGACTCCATGCAACACAGATATACAGCAGTTCTCAGAAACAGTGCTTATACAACTAAATATTCATGAAGTGATTCAAAGGAAAGCAAAATCTTCAAACATTTTTCAGTTTATATAGTGAATGTTTGAGTTTGTAAAGAAGAATACAAACACTGCTATTTTTTTGAACAGTCTAATATTCACTTTCCTTCAAATTTTTTTTTTTAGAGGAACAGAAATTTGATATATTTTTCTTCATGTTTTGATTTGGAATAGAATGTGTAGTGTTCCCAATGCATTTGTGTGTATGGAAATAAAAGCGATTAGAAGGATTTTGAGCTTTATTCACTTTTTTCAACACACTGCTATTATTTTGAACACAACTGTATATATTTATTTTTATTTTTCTGCTAAAATCAGCATCAACAAACCAAGGCATATGGTAAAGAAATAAACATTTGACAGTCATTCGATCAGAGACCAGATGATTTAGGAAGATGGTGATCCCATAGGGTATACTTTATTTTTCAGTTAAACACCTGCATCAAGAGGAAGGGAAGCTTATGTATAAAACAATGCTTTAAACACATTTCTAGTGCTCAAATTGTCAACTGCAATGCTTTACAGTTCTGCAACAGTTTTTAAAAAGGATACAAAATTGTTTTGCATGTACTTAATTTATTAGGCCAAGGACTAAAAATTGCACATTTTTTTCTATTTTAAAATATTTTTCTTTCTAATAAATATGACGCATATTAAGAAACTGCCAGTAGAGGGAACTTTAGGCTTCTTTATACATATTGTCTTATATCTCAAATTTATTTAAGGTTTATTTAAAAAGCACAGTAGCTAAAGTTGAAATTTCCACACATGAATGAGTCAGAGCAGTGCCTACCCCTCCCTCTCAATGCCTCTGTCCAGGGTTTCAGTGAGACCCCATGCCTGAAAAAGGAGAATATTCACTGTGCTCCCAGAAAACCCATAGCACTCTGGGAAACCTCTGCACAATTTGTAACACTGGTATGCAAAATCTACTTTCACTGTTTGAACTGCTGCTGTAAGTTCTTTTAAGTGCAACTATGGTAATACGTTCTGTTATAGAGGAACATTGTAAACAAAACCATGCTGCACTAAATTACTAGCTTGGGAGGTTTACTGAAAGCCAACCTAATGTTATGGATCAATGTGTGCAACCAAAAACTTCCTGCCCCTGTACACACTTCTCCACTTTTTGGCCATTGCATCCAAACACATTTCTTCACTTATCACCCATGTGCAATTCTCCACTCACCACTACTGTACCTGCGAGCACTTATTGGCCAATGCATCCAGACTTCTTAACTTACCACCCATGTGCAATTCTCTGCTCACCACCACTGTACCTGCAAGCATTTACTGGCCAAAACATCCAAAACTTCTTCACTTTCCGCCCATATGCAATTCTCAGTTCACAAACACTGTATCTGCAAGCACTTACTGGCCAATGCATCCAGACTTCTTCACTTACTACCCATGTGCAATTCTCTGCTAACCACCACTGTACCTGCAAGCACTTACTGGCCAACTCATCCAAAACCTCTTCACTTACCACCCATGTGCAATTTAAGAATTCATCTTGATCAACAAATAGGCCCATTTTGCTAGTCCTAGTATAATTCTGTTGTTTGCAATCAAATTTCATTTTAACAGATATCATAAATGCCATTGCAATTGACTGTATGAACACTAGATTCTACATCTAAAATGCAACATAGCAGAGTTGGAAAACAACTTTGACATGACTTACTGTGATTAGACAATATACAGGGAGACCCTCCAAGTGGGAGGGAAGTGGTGCTGCTAACAGAATCTGCAAACACATTTAAAACCTTCAAGTACTCTTGAGCTTTAGAAAACTCACTGCAAAAGAAGAGTTTAAGGTATTAGTGATACATGTGGAAAACAAATACAGAAATACATTTTTACTGCAGGCTGCCTATCATAGGCCCTTTACTTTTATCATGTTGAAAAATACAAAAACATGATTTAGCACTGCACTAAAAGGTCCAAAAAAAAAAAAAAACAAAAAACAGTGCGGCAACCATGGAAGCGTTTGATTTTATGTAAAAGAGATAGCAATTTATATGAAGTTTTCAATAAAGAGAATAAGAATGTGGGAGAAGTGGATAGCATATTTAAAACCTTGAAACACTTATGTACTTCTGGACTGGGTATGCATATAAACATGCATACCAAAATGACAGAATTGCTCATACCAGCTTTCTTCTTCCGGAGACACTTTGCTGCTCTCTGGCTTTGCCAGTGAATACAATGCTTTCTCCAGCAACGATTCACAAAATGTTCGATGAATTTGAGCAATGGGGTCAGCTGTATTTGAGAAAAGAAAAAAAACTGTTTAGCTCAATCTAACACACATCTTTTCCTACTAATGTTCAATATTAATAGAAAATATGAGGTATGTATAAAGCCAATCCAGGATGAAAACCAGGAAACCTTAATTTGGGTTTGAATATTATATATATAAAAACATTTTTTTTAACAAAGTCGCACAAAGTGCTCTTTACTAATAAGCCAGGTAAACCCAAGTTGCATATTTATATTTTTTTTGCAAACGTTATCAGTTTGTAAGGCAGGTTAAGGTTTCGAATTTTCTATGATCACAATGCTGCTACAAGTGAACCTGAAATGATGTCACGGTTTTATAGCAGGGTATAATACTGTGCTGTATGCGCTCCAGCTTCTCTCACCAGGATTTCTTGAGGAGCTGTAGAGAGACTCCTTTGCAGCACTCTTCACAGTCCAGTTAAAGTGGATAAAGAAGTGTTTCCCCATCGGATGTGTTAGCCATCGCAAAGACTCTGGTAAAGAATCACTCTCTCCAGTAGAGTTATTACTTTGTGCACAACCAAGAAAATATGCCTGAATGAGAAGAGCCATATTAAAGCATGTTAAAAATGAACAGTCATGTTATCTTGACACAAAGCTTCTTTTTTTAAATAGGAGAACACTAAACTGAAACATCAAAACATCTTGGAGTTAGGGTCTGTCCACCCTCACTATCTACAGAAAGCACAGAATGTTGAACACTGTACTGGACCCATACAGCAAATTCTGCAGAATAAAGTTACCAATTTAAATTTACCATTTTGTTGCACAGACTATGCCAATGCAGGGCTGCATTTTTGTAAAATTAAGTTCAATTTGTTTTAAAATCTACTATCAGAGGGTGTCCCCATTCACTGAAAAATGAACCGGTAGAGAAGAGACAAGAAGAAAAAAAAAAAAAAAAAAAAAAAAAAAAAAAAGTGTCCTTGTGCCTCCCCACCCACCCCCAAATTAAAGTGGCACTCTGGTCCTTGTCTGAGCTGGGTTGTGTGAACAGTGCGCTTCTTTTCTTAGGTTCCAATATAGAAGCCATCTCCTTGCAGGATGACTACTTCTCCATTAGGCCCTAAGGAAAAAAAAACCCAAGTCATGTGACTTAACACGTCCTGGGAGCCAGGTGATGTCAGTTTGCGGACAAACTGTAAAATTGAACAGAGAACAGGACACGGTACAGGAATGATACAGACCGATTTTATGCACAAGGAATGGCGTCCTTATAAATGCGTATTTTACGGTTTTAATTCTTTTAATAAATGCTTTTATATAGAACTACTATGAATATGTTGTTTGCTTTGCCCTGTGTGTTATCTCTTGAATAAGAGGTGGTGGTAGAGCTGAGGAGAGGACGAAATACCATTTAACCCCGCCGGGGAAAAGTAGTTTATGACATTTGTAATTTAAAAGGTCAATAACAAAGGTGCGAGCACATCCTGGGTGCAGTGTTATCAAGAGGTGAAGAGGAGTAAATTGAAGTGGATGAGCTGATGCTCATCTATGCTCAAAAAGACATGTTCTGAACAAGTTGTTCTTTGTGTGACAATATTAGTACATTTAATTTCCAGCACAGTGGAGTGTATCAGAGAACAAACACTGTATTTTCAGCATGATGGATTGTATCATAGAGAACAGGCATTTTATTTCCCAGAAAGGTGGTTTATAGTAATTAAATGTGGCACATTTTAGAATACGTATTTAGGCTCCATGCACACTAGCTTAAAAAAAAAACGCCAGTGCTCTTGGAAGGGGAAAAAAAAAAAAAAAGTTAATTTTGAGAATGTTTTGTACTAGCATTTAGCAGCATTTATTATTTTCTTCTGCCAGAAATACGCTCTCAAAAATGCAAAATAGAAGGGCTTTTTTTTTTCTGCCTCTACTTAAAAAATACCTCTAGAGTCTAGACTACCTAATGTGTATGGACACATAGGATAACAGTTACTTCTACAAGCAAAACGCTAATCTAGAAGAAGCGTATTTTTTAAACCAGTGTGCATGGAGCCTTAAGGTATCTCATTGTAATCAATGTAATTTAGTATTCTATTACTTTGTGTATTATATTAACACTATATTGTGATGAAAAACATAGCTGAACAAATTACAGTTTCTTTCTGTAGTTTGTAGTGTGGCCAGCTACTTTCATTTGAAAGAGGGGAGATTTAGCAGTACAGGGGGTTTAAGATATATTTTTTCTGATTAAATACTGACTGCAACAAAAAAAATGCGTGCTTAATACTGTAGCTAAATCGAACATTTTCAATTTACAATGCAATTTGGAGATTACTAGTCACTTACAGCCAAGAAAGAGAACCTCCCAGAGAAGCTGATCTTCATCTGCACAGCTGTAGTTAGGTGAATTTCTGCAAGTAAACTTGGTGATATTTTGTCACCTGCACACTCAGCTAGGTTCACAGCACACAGAGAAAGGTTGAGACCTGAGCAACGCCAACTTGAGGACAATTTTCCTAAAGGAAAAGTGTAAATAACACAAAAGGTAAAACAAAGAAGAGAGCTCAAGTACACGAGCATGATAAAAAGCCATGAAAAAAGCTATTCAAAAGCTGCTGTTTTACCTGTCAAATGCAGCTGGTGCAATTTGTGATAAACAAGGGCAGCATCACGGGCACTGGTTGCAGCTTCATCCTGAAATTCTCCTTTATTACAATGGCCAGGCGTACGTTTCAGTAGCCAGCGTACCAGGCTTATTTTCTGTAGACTACAACGTATAATGTTCCAGGACAGGCTGCATGCAAGGTCAAAGCGGGAAGCTGGGAGAGATCGTCCAAGTACACAAAGGCAAGTCTGCAAATTTAATGCTGCTGCTCCAAAATCTCCCTAATAAATATGAAAAAGCAGGTACACCTAAGATAATATTCAGTACAACGATTACTCAAAATCATCCTTTATCTGTTATGTTTATACATACAACACGCACTTTTCCTGAACAAATATTCTGAGCCACTGAGTGAAATACAATAATCTTGCTGGAGGGCACAGCAGTGCAAAACAGGAGCTATGGGACAAATTTACCACTTTATTTCTATTTTTGCACTACATCTACATGCAGACCAAGCTGTCCAGCAAATATATTAGTGATATTACAGGGGTTGGGATAGGTTGGGTTTTTTTTTTTTTTCTTCTTTCTGTGTTTGTTAAGAGTGACAATCTCAGATCTTTGGATAGAATTTCATCATTGGCTGCTCAGGATTTCAAGCACAGCTGCTACAAAGCCACAAAAACCTACTGCAAATCCTTTCATAAATGAAAGACAGCCAGATTTGCACAAGAAAATACACCAGATTTTGTTACAAACAACCCCCCAGTATGTAAGCAGAAAAATGCCTTTCAAAGATGCCCAACCTACCCGAGCAAGATCCAAATCAGCTTGTTTTCGGTGTCTCCAGAATTTCACAGAGGAACGAGAATGCAATCTTGTCACTGGCTCTCCATGGATCAACAGTTTCATGAAAACACTGAGAACAATCACTCCATTTACCAACCAAAGAATTAGAGTTGGGATAAGCCAGTCAAGCCAGCTGCCAGAAAGACCTGAAAAGGAAAGAAAATTAGCAAAATTACAGAAACACTACCCTAGTAATTAACAATACGAGTCAATGAGCATTGATGAGTTACATTTCCACTGTTTCATTAGGGATCACTGGAGTTTAAGTGATACCCTTGTCTAGCCAATTTAAAAAGCAACTCCACTTTTGTTGAAAAAAACAATCCTTTCTGGATGAGCAATGTACATTGCAGGGATTTTGACAAACTTTAGTAATTTGTCTGTGACTATGTGCAAAGTGAATGTCATTATAATTATCAATCAGCAGCTGCACTTGCAAGGTTCTAATGAAGAAGTGTCAGGGTCTGCATCCCTTTAGATATGATTTCTTTCTGGGAGTATCTCACCAAAAATTACTTTTATGAAGGGCATGCCCAAAATCTGACGTGTCGCTTAGTGCAGGCTTCTTGGAAAATCAGTGAGCCAATCACAGAGGCAGGAAATTACATTTCGGGATTGGGGGGGGGGTCGTTCTGTACACACCCCAAAGACAGCAGCTCATTCTTAAAAGTGTTTGTTACCTCAACATTTCATATTCCTAATATGTGTATGTTGTACCATGTACTTGTGTTAAAAAGTATCCTATCTGTGTATTTCTTCTTTTGTGTGAAATAGCTGGTGATCCTGTCAGTCCCCCACTTTTATTATTTCAAACTGACTACACTAGCCATAGAAGCACATTCCTTAGGAGCATGGACAGGTTTCTCAGTTATAAAAAATAAAGTCTGTCTGTCACGCACACAGCTTAGACTAAAAAACACTACATGATTTGCAGGTGTGAAAGTGACATGTTTCGCAATGAAAGCGAAAGTAAAGTGACAGCACTAAGTATCTGTAATAAATAAATGCAGACACAGAGACACACACTCACCATGGCCACCCTGTAGCAGTAAAGCTGCTACAGGGTGGACAGCAAGCGGTTAAAACTTAATGTGTTGTTTTGCAAGGTAAGGGTTCACATATACTTTAAATTTAGGCCTCCAATGCAGATTTTATATTATATGAATTTATTTTACTGTATACTTGTACATATATGTATTTAGGATCAGCACTTCCTTACCAGAATATATTTGACAGTTTAAAAATACAGATATAGTTTATCATCCTGCAGTATGTTAAACAGTCAGCTGCTGGAAGTTTGAATCACTAACAAGATTTATATCTCTTTAGGACTCCGGGAGAGAGGTTCATATTTTAGCTTGGATCTCTTTGATCTGCTAAGGACATTACAAATGGATATCCACTTGCAGCATGTCCGTATCATCTATCCACTCTGTTGGTTCATTTACTAAAATTACATTGTAAAGACTATAGCAGTAGAATCAAGACTACTCTTCAAAGAAGATTTGTAAGACTCTATATAAAAGCAATGGCCAAGAAAACCTGACCTAATACTGAGCGGAGCCTTTACATTCCGACTCATTCAGTTTTGGAGTCTGGTTGGTTTTGTTTTCCAGGTCAATGATTTGCAATCAATATACAGTTTGATATAATTTGCTCATGAACAAGAACTTTCACCTCCCATTTTAATCCTGCCTATTATGTGTATTCTTATGTGTCCTTGTAGTTTAAAAGTTTAATGAAGTGACTTCATGGCAAGAAGGCAGAGTCAGGAAACTTAAGCAGGAGTTCTACCAGCTAGAGACCACAATTCAACCCATCAGCACTGATCCAAAATAAAACTGCAATCATTAAATATTTGTAAATTTTAAATTGTGCCTTTTTGCAAAATAATGAAAATTGAAGGTGTGCAAAACTGTATATAAAAAGAGACTTAGGCTAAAAGTCTCACGGCTGTATGTTGTGGCAACATGTGTTACTGCAATGAATAAGACTGCACAATGTACAGTGTGGTGCATTGTAGTGCCATTCATTTTGAATGCCATCCCAATGCATCTAGCTAGCACACCTAAATTCATATGCGTTTTAACAAATCACAATATATACATGGGAGCCATCTGTGCTACACACATATATTAATATAGTGCAACTCTACATTTACTCAATGCGGCTAACAGTGATCTCTCGATTCTGGAAGCAGTTCACATACAGGTGAAACTCGAAAAATTAGAATATTGTGCAAAAGTTCATTTATTTCAGTAATGCAACTTAAAAGGTGAAACTAATATATGAGATAGACTCATTACATGCAAAGCAAGATAGTTCAAGCCGTGATTTGTCATAATTGTGATGGTTATGGCTTACAGCTCATGAAAACCCAAAATCCACAAGCTCAGAAAATTAGATTACATGCAATCAATAAAACAAGGATTGTACATAGAACAATATCAGACCTCTGAAAAGTATAAGCATGCATATGTACTCAGTACTTGGTTTGGGCCCCTTTTGCAGCAATTACTGCCTCAATGCGGCGTGGCATGGAAGCTATCAGCCTGTGGCACTGCTGAGGTGTTATGGAAGACCAGGATGCTTCAATAGCGGCCTTCAGCTCTTCTGCATTGTTCGGTCTCATGTCTCTCATCTTTCGCTTGGCAATGCCCCATAGATTCTCTATGGGGTTCAGGTCAGGCGAGTTTGCTGGCCAATCAAACACAGTAATCCCACGGTCATTGAACCAGGTTTTGGTGCTTTTGGCAGTGTGGGCAGGTGCCAAGTCCTGCTGGAAAATGAAGTCAGCATCCCCATAAAGCGAGTCTGCGGAAGGAAGCATGAAGTGCTCCAAAATCTCCTGGTAGACGGCTGCATTGACCCTGGACTTAATGAAGCACAGTGGACCAACACCAGCAGATGACATGGCTCCCCAAATCAACAAAGACTGTGGAAACTTCACACTGGACTTCAAGCATCTTGCAGTGTGTGCCTCTCCATTCTTCCTCCATACTCTGGGTCCTTGGTTTCCAAATGAGATGCAAAAGTTGCTCTCATCAGAAAAGAGGACTTTGGACCACTGAGCAACAGACCAGGTCTGTTTTTCATTAGCCCAGGTAAGACGCTTCTGACGTTGTTTGTTGTTCAGGAGCGGCTTGACAAGAGGACTACGACATTTGAAGCCCATGTCCAGGATCCGTCTGTGTGTGGTGGCTTTTGATGCACTGACTCCAGCATCAGTCCACTCCTTGTGAAAGTCCAACACTTTTGAATGGCCTTTTCCTGACAATCCTCTCCAGGCTGCGGTCATCCCTGCTGCTTGTGCACCTTTTTCTTCCACACAACTTTTTATTAATGTGCTTTGATAAAGAACTTTGGGAACATCCAGCTTCTTTTGCAATTACCTTTTGAGGCTTTCCCTCCTTGTGGAGGGTGTCAATGATGGTTTTCTGCACAATTGTCAGGTCAGCAGTCTTTCTCATGATTGTGATTCCTACTGAACCAGACTGAGAGACCATTTAAAGGATCAGGAACCCTTTGCAAGTGTTATGGCTTAATTAGCTGATTAGAGTGGGACACTTTGAGCCTAGAATATTGCACCTTTTCACGATATTCTAATTTTCTGAGATTGTGGATTTGGTATTTTCATGAGCTGTAAGCCATAATCATCACAATTATTACAAAATACGGCTTGAACTATCTTGCTTTGCATGTAATGAGTCTCATATTAGTTTCACCTTTTAAGTTGCATTACTGAAATAAATGAACTTTTGCACAATATTCTAATTTTTCGAGTTTCACCTGTAGCTGTATACATCACTGGAGATAACGTTTATGGACTTGTAGTTGAGTCAGAACAACCATGTACCCACAGACGTGAGTTTCGAGTTTCACCTGTATCCCACTTTTGCAGATTGGAAGTTGGAGGTGGACCGCAACATAAAGGCTGAAAGATGGGTACACATCGCTAAAGATACTATGGACAGGTTTAGAGATATGTTGGTGGGTTAGATATATTGTTCATATGCACCAACTGATACACGAGTCCCTGATCTTATACAGCAGCCTTTGTCAACGTCTTTGAGACAAAGGAACCCCTAAGATAATGTTCCAATCTCAGGGAACCCCTGCTAAAAATTACTATATCTACAACTCATGATACATTAGTGTAATGATTAGTGGGAAGAATGCTCCTTATGCTTGTCGTTACTGGAAAAAATTACCCCCTTAAAGATAGCTAAAAAGATCAATGGTGTCAGTGGAAACTTATCTGAGAGGCAGAAATTGCTCATTGCTTAAGGAACCCCTAGTAACCCCTGGAGGAACCCAGGTTGAGAAACTCTGTTGTAGAGGAATATTTGTCTTTGCTAGCCTCATAGGCTTTCATATCAAGAAAGAGGATATACTAGACCTCAGGCACTCCCGTATATTGTACCTCTAGGTTTGTTTACTAGATTTGACAATTAATTGGCCGAAGAACATGTAACCTTTTTTTTCTTTTTTGCTTTGTTTTATCATCTGTTTTTACTCTCTGTTATCTTACTTAGATTATGCTGATATCTTCCTGACATTCTAGTATGGCCTTCTATGATCTTAAATTTGGAGGTTATGGGTGAGCTTGTGACCAGTTTGGATTGACCATCTTGTACCTGTATCCGTAGGTTTGCCCAGCCTGAGTACTTTTTTCTATTTCTACAAATGTCTGTATTGTCCAACAACGTCAGATACTTGTTTATACTTTTTTGTAAACTTGTAACCTGTTACTGTATTGTAAAGCACAGTATAGAGATATCACTTTTCCCAGTCGGGGCAACGTGACAATGTCTATAAATAAGCCTTCACCAATCCACTGGTACCTTTCCAGTGACCCCTCTCTGCTCCTTCAATCTCAGTCATCATCAACATACACAGAAACCAGCCGGCACTGGGTATGTTGAAAGTCAGGACATCACCCCCTCCTGTCATGCGACAATGCTTGGGCCTAGCGATTGGGCAACAGACCCATGCACTGTAATATGGGAGAAGGCCACATGCTCTCCTAGACTTGAAAGCAGTGGGTATGTTGTGCTGACTAAGCTAAATGCAGGAATGGCTGAGATCACTGTAGAGGTAAGAATCAGGAGAGTGAGGGAGTCTAAATGAGCTAAGTGACAATGTTTCTTTAACATGCAATGATGTACTGCAACATACTGGACATACACTGAGCAGCCATAACTTTATGACCATTGACAGATTAAGTGAAAAACACAGGTATTCTTGTTTACAATGGCATATATAAGTCGGTGGCAGTTAGGCAGCAAGTAAACATGTTGTCCCCAAAGTTGAGGTGTTGAAAGGAGAAAAAAAGGGGCATCACAATTTGATGTGTACATGGGCTGCATAGCTGCAGACTAGTCAGGGTGCCCATGCTGACCCATGTCCACAGCCAAAAGTGCCCACAATGGACACGTGAGCATCAGAACTGGACCACCGAGCAAAAGAAGAAGGTGGCTTGATCTGATGTATCATGTTTTTTTTTTACATAGGATTTTTATTAATATAAATATTTATTAAATTCTAACTTTTTTTTTTCTTTTACTTAAAAAGGTGACATATCCCCTGGTGACAATGTTATACCAGATGAGAGACAGGTCCTCTTTGGTAAAATATCTAGGGTCTTCATTTCAGCTGCAGAAAAATTGACAACACACTCCCAAATCTCCTTCTTGGCTGCCACTCTACACTGAACTCTGTACTGAGCATGTCAAAGTTTATTCAAAAAAAAGGAGATCAGTAAACATGTGACACATTTACCATATCCTTCAGTACCCTAATGAACTCGGACATGCTCACTGGCAGAAATCATGAAATTTTGGTATGGATATTGAAAATATGGCTGATCATGCCAAAAAGCAGTCTTCTTTAGGGATAGTGATCATATGAAGCCATTTATTATCATATTGTTGTTTGTCTTCTTTTTAAATTACAATAACAGAAATCACCCAAATGGCACTCATGAAAAGTTTACATACCTTGGAATGTACAGACACACAAGATGACACACACGGGTTAAAACAGCAATTAAAGGTTAATTTCCCACATCTGTGGCTTTTTAAATTGCAACTAGTGTCTGTGTTTAAACAGTCAATGAGTTTGTTAGCTCTTATGTGGATGCACTGAGCAGGCTAGATACTGTAGACATTCATTTTAGTTAGTGCCACTAAAAGTGCAACAAGAAGTTTACATAAGGGAATGTAAAAGAGAAAGTTTGCTTACCTGATACCCTTCAATACCTAGCATGGTTCTACCTGTTCCATGCTGCATGGTCCTATCAGAGAGCTCAGCAGTTTCTGAGTGCAGCAAAGAGGTTAGGGGATTAAATGTCAAGCAAAGGAATGTCATAGTACATAGTAACATCCTTGAGCGATCCATCATACCCAATCCTGTGGGAGAGTCTGGTTCATCTTTAACCTTCAATATAAACAAAATCAATATGGTAAAGAAAGTTTTGAATTATACAGTTATAAGTAACATTGATCCCTAAACCTGAATACTGTGAAATCCTGTGCTGTGGCTCACACGTCTGGTGTTTTTAGAAGGGTCAGAGCTTTTTTTTCTTCCATTATTATGTCAAAGTAAATCAAAGTAACCAACCACTGACAAGACCAAACAGATCAAGTTTGTAGAAAGGTTGGTTACAAAGAGTTACAGGTCATTATTTTCTCATGCTTAAGGAGCACAACTATTATGTCTCCACATCGACAAATGACAGAAAATACAAATGTGGTAAATCTAAACTGCACAGGTTTCTGAAATCTATAAATGCTCATGTTATGCAAAGAACTTTCTGAAACATTAAATGAATAAGCAGTTATCACATGTCATCAACAGCTATACTACCTTGGACAGTGGTTGTGAAAAGGAAACTAAGATTATATATTTGTACAGCACATTTTATTATGTTTGCAAGTAAAGCCACACAAAACATAAGTGATGTATTAAATTGGTCTTTACAAGAAATGTCATTCTAGAGCTTGGCACTGAGTAGAAATCCCACCTTTTCATCATCAAGAAGAGGGCTTCCAGGCTCTGAATCCACAGAGTATGGGGAGAAGACAGCAGGAGAGCCAGAGTCAGATGCTGGTGGAGACATCATTAAAATGTTTTGGTTGAATTCATCCATCTTCATTTCCATGCTGGTGTCAACCAAGCTGCTCAAATCAATCCCTTTCAAATATTCTGGAATAGAAGCATACAATATTTATTGCAACTAACCCATGAAATAGATTTCTAGAAATCAAAGAAAATCAGCATACAGCACATGTACCAAAAGGTATTTTGGCACCTTGAACTTGAGCTTGGCAATGTCATATGTATTATTATTATTATTAGGTATTTTCTTAATCGCATGAAGTTTTATACAATTTTTACCATTCTGTGGGGTTCATTTACTAAAGGAAAATAGACTGTGCACTTTGTAAGTAGTTGCTCCAGAACATAGTAAATGAGCGGAAGCTGTGTTGACTTCCAACATTCACTCATGTGCAAGCAAAAATGCTGTTTAATTTTCCTTGCATGTGATTGGGTATTCTTTGTAAAGTGAAGCTTTACCTCATTTACTAAGCTATAGAGCAACTGCATTTGCCAAGTACACATTCTTATTTGCATTTAATAAATCAGCCTGTGTCTATTCTACACTCCTGTGGGCCAATCTAGCCTTCAGTGTACCCACTCTCTATAAACCCAGAGAGACCACCCCAGCTTCCAATCTGTCACTATAGTCACTGTAATTTCAGTCAAAGCATTTTACTTACTGTTCTTTTGATTGGCCAGCTTAAGTGCCATATTTTCCTGACGAAGTTTCTGGTTTGCTTGCTGAAGGTACTTTATATAATCAATTGCTTTTTTCAAAACCCCTGATTTATGCATCTGAAACACAAACATAGTTCCCAGGTAAAGCCAAAAATTGCAGTGTATATAAAAAGTATTACTAAACTATTCAATAAACAAAATTACAATAATTTTAAAAGAGGTATAGAGGAGAGAAAAACAGAGAGAAGAGAGACAAAGAAGAGAGAGAAGAGAGACAAAGAAAGGGAGAGAGCGCGCGAAGAGAGAGGAGCGAGAAAGGGAGAGCGAGAAAGAGCGAAATATAAAATCATTTTACCCCTGTACAAATCATTAGTAAGACCTCATCTGGAATATGCAGTTCAGTTTTGGACACCAGATCACAAAAAGGATATCAGAGAACTGGAGAAAGTGCAGAGAAGGGCAACCAAAGTAACAGACATTATTATTAACAATGTGCCTTTTCACACAGGCACGTAAATAATAATAAGCACATAAATTTTTGGTCAGTAATTTACACCGACTGCACATAAATACGCGCATATAAGCATAAATAATAATCAGTTTTCTTAAGAATATATTGTGCGTACACATGCGCGAACGCACATATGCATGCAAATATGCACATAAATACACGCAACACAGGCGCCTGAAATTACGTTCACAAAAAGTAGATGCTCAAACATCAGTACCGTGTGAAAGAGGCCGTCCTGCAGACTTCAGCTCTGAAAATAAAGTTGATACTTACATAAAATTATCACAACTAATATCTAGGTATTGCTAGAGAGCTGTGACATGAGAAAGGGACCAATACAGAACCTCTAAGTCTCAATACACATGAGATGTTAGATGGGATGGAGGAAGGAATAGCAATAGTCCATTCATCTCTTACCTTGGCATCTGTTCCCATAACCAAGTCTTTCAGTTCTATGATTTTATCATTGATTGAGGAACGATACCTCTTCTCAATGATATTGTGTGTTGTCCGCCTTTCACCCTCCTTTGGCACTTCTTGCTGTTTGAGAATGCCCGACACATGCTTGATAGGCATCTTTTCTTGTCCCATCATAACTGGCATTGTGGTCAGAATAGTTCCACCTCCTCCTACCAGTGTCTAGAACAGAAGAATTTGTTTTTATAGAAAAAAAATCTGATTTTCAGAAATGCAAGCATGTTATGCAATATGAACATTCTGTTTAAGATAGAACAAATAATTTCCAATCATATTTTGAAGTACAGTGTTTATGTGAAAGTGATGGCTCAGATCAGCTAGAATATACTTGTTTCACATGAAGTATCAAAGTATTTTAGTTGTTTTAGTGCATGCTTCATTACAACATAAGATCACACATTCTTTTATTCATCTTGAAGGTGACAGATTCTTACTAGTATTTCATCTAAAGGTACAATTAAATATTTTCATATTATTCGTTTTTAACTAAACCCAGTCATAAATAAAAATAACATTTATATTAACTGGTTATGACTTGCAGTGGATAAAAACTTGTCCCTCAAAAGGACAGCTTCATTTGTTTGAGAAGTTGCCCTACAGAACTCCCAGCCAGGCCCTTCTTGTTGTGTCTCATTCTGCCCTATGGCTGATTATGTACTTCTCTGAATGGCTATGTCCTGCATGAGTACAGAACAGCTATAGGAATGAATCGGGCCACAGAAAGCATACAACCAGGTGCAGGACTGTGGCATCAGCAAACATCACATACAGTATACCATGAGAAATTAGTGCTTGAAGGATGCAGCCACTCACTTAAAATATATGTGAGTCCTTCCCTTATAAAACAAACCAATTTGTTTAAAACATCTGCGTATATACAAAAAAAAAAAAAAAACACAACACAAAACAAAACATCTTTTTTTTCCTTTTTTGATAAGTGATCATGATCTCTTTTCTCAGCTTCATAAGGGTCTTGGAGAGGTGGGGGAGGAGAAATAGCAGGACACCGATCTTCCCAGTGAAAGGCTGCACAGAGGGGGAGTGTCAGTAGACGTTTAATCATTGAAGGACAAACAGACTGTTCTCCCAGCACAGCCAGAAAACAGACTACACTGAGATGGATGTGTTCTCAGTTTGAAATAAGAAAGCCAGGGGATTGGCAGGAACAGCAGGGATTTCACACTAAGGAATCAATGCAAAGAGAACAGGATACTTTTTTCATACCAGTATATAGTACAACAAACACATATCAGGAATATGCAATGCTGGAGTAACATTCTTTAAATCTTTTTAATGTCTTTTCTTGCCCACTTCTTTTAAAACGATGTTATTGGAGTCCCTCAAAGGGGTTTTTCCTCAGTATTTCTGTACCACAAAACTACACGTCTACTCACACAAACTCTTTGCACTAGCATTGAGGGGAGAGAGAGAATTCAAATATAATGGGGCAGACAAGTCAGACACCAATGGAGGGTGGAATGGGGAAATATTGGAAAAGGGATATGCCAGTTGATAAGGAGATTCCCAGATTACAAACAACCATAGGCAATTACAAGAACAAAGTTGTCAAACAAATCTGCTTTCCTTTTATAAACAGAATAAGGAAAAACGTACACATAGGAATGATCGTGGATATTGCATACTTGGACTTTGCTAAAGTGTTTGACAATCACACAGCTAACGTGCAAGTTAATGACTAGGCTTAGAAAATTCAGTATGTAAATGGCTAGGAAATTGGCTTAAAGACTGTATTCAGTGGGTGGTGATTCATGATTCATACTCTGAATGGTCTAAGGTTTTAGTGGTGTACCCCAAGGTTCACTGTTGGGGCCATTACGTTTAACCTATTTAAAAATTCTACAGAGCTTGGAATTAAAAGTACAATTTCAGTCTTTGCAGATGACACCATGCTAACTAGTGAACAACGTCCTTACAGGATGTCTCCGACAAGCCGACCTTCATGCACTGTTTTATTGGGCAAATGAAATGAAATCCAGTTTCCTCTGTATGACACAAGTCTTTCAACCTGTCTGGATGATAACCCTGGGTAATACTTAACCCTTCAGAGACAGCAAAGTTCAGTTTCTTATGGGAAAATCTCTTACGCATACTACTGTTATTTAAGTGTATTTAAATGTATGCAAAAAAAAAACAGTAGTTGAGTCCTTGAAAATAACTGGACCATGGTTTGTGCGCATGTACTGTAAAACATTTGGCAAGAAAGCACACAGCTTCAGGTGTTCCCACTGTTTAGAGAAGCTCTACTTTAATACTAAACCCTAGCTGTATAGCAGCTGTATCAACAAGAACCGACAATAGTTTGACCTTTTGATATATTTGGTCTACAGTTAAAACAAAGCAGAGCTTGGACTGTACAGTGGTCACTACAATTTCTTCTATAATCTAATAATATGACTACCTAAACCAGCCTCTCAACCTTCTTACCTCAGAGGAAGCCTTATCCAGTTCCCGACCGTGCTATAGCCAAAAGACACCCCCAGCGTACCCCCTGGGGCTCACACCGTGCACGATCCTTCGGACACAGTTGATCACATGTCCAAGTAGGGGGCCAATCAGAGCCACCTCTTGTGACAATCACAGCTGATCACATAGGAAATGCCGGTTATTGGCAGGTTATCGACAGGAGAGCCGGTAAGCTGCATTTCTTAGGGGGACTTCTACACTGATCATCAGTGTAGGCAGGTTATGCGCTCTCCTCAATGAACCCCTAGCAACCTCTAGATCAGTGGTCTCCAACCTGCGGCCCTTTGCTTGTTTTTATTTGGCCCTTGTGGCACTTTTTCTCCCAGTGATACAAGACAATATTCCTCCAACTGACACTGAGAATGGCACATAATTCCTGCTACTGACACCAAGGATGGGGCACTATTCCTCTCCCTGACACCAAGGATGGGGCACTATTCCTCACATGGAAAACAACCATGGACACCATTTCTCTAACTGACAGCATTCATGGGGCACTATTCCTCTCACGGATACCAAGAGGGCACTATTTCTTCCACTGACGCAAACAATGGGACACTATTCCTCCCACTGACACCAATGATAAGGCACTATTCCTTCCCCTAATACCAAAGATGTATTGTTTACGCCCAATGATGCCATGACAAATTTCTACTCCCACTGGCCACAGTCTGGTTCCTCCTAAAGTCTGAAGGCCAGTAAACTGGCCCTTTGTTTAAAGCATTTGGATACACCTGTTCTAGAAGAACAAAACTGGGTTCCACAAAACCCCTAGTAAGAAAATCTGATTTAAACAGACCTCTACATGAAATGGCAGTCAGACACAGCAGTTTTCCTTTATGTGCAAAAGCAACAATCTGGCGAGTATTTTTTGGGGGAGTTTACTGCAATATACAGAACTGTAGATATTTTAATGGGGAGGACATCATACTGCCTAATAAAACATAATCTTTCACCCTATTATACCAGATAAGGTGGCACAACATTTTTTACATTATGTTGCGATATATCTTATCAGCATCTCCTTTATCTAAGCTTTATACTTACTTGCATTATTGCACTGGGGTGCAGCAAACAGTAGGGCTGCACAAGGCCATATGCAAGACACCTTGACCTACAACATTATGATAATGTTTCAAGAGAAATCCATCAATCATTAATAACTTTCCACTGCAAGAACTGGCTAACTAGGGCCTTTTCCCCAAATATTTGTACACTGAAGAGCGTCATTATAAGAAAATGTTTTGCTGTTCAGCAAGATCACAAGTAAACATTATGTCAGCCTATGCACTGGGTTCACCTACATTAGTTACATAACCTACATAAGTTGTGTTAATAGTAGGGAAAAAAAAGAAAAAAAGTTTGGCAATCTATAGAAATCTATAAGTTATTTTTTTTTTTTTTTTTTTCTTTCTAGCCTTAAAGGGATGATTCACCTTCACCAAAGAACTGCCTATGTAGGTAAGGGGTGTCTGTGGATAAAAACAAACCATGTGCCTTTGATAAAGTTGAATAATGTTCTTGCTATAGGTGTAGACCATTTATGTACCTTATAAAGCCTGGCTAGAATACTTCCAGGATGTTGCTAAGTGAGGCCTAGTCATTACTGCTCACCCCAACCATCACAGGAGTGAGCTTTTTCTCCGATTCAGAGCCCCTCACATGTTCCATCTCTCCCCTGATACAGTAGCTCTGAGCTCAGCCTCTGAGAGCTCACTCCTGTGATGGAGGAGGTGAGCACTAACATGTAGGCAGTTCTTTGGTGAAGGCGAACTATCCTTTTAACATATCCTTTTGGGGCTTGTCTATTGATCTTGTGTTACTAACAATTGTTCCTTTTGGTTTTGATGATCTGCCTCTGCAGTAGTTTTATATTATGACCTGTAATAACTAAATATCCTCAGTTATTAGCAAAGCAATATTATAAAATGCATAGATGTTACAATAACTATACATTATTAAAAAAACAGACTGTGTACATTTTTGAGAAATAGCAAAAACTATGGCAGCCCAAAACTACACAAGGCTTTGGTGTTGATAGTTGGAAACCAATGATTTAACCACTTGCCCTCCTGAGGATTTACCCCCCTTCCTGACCAGGAGTTATGGAGCTGCGTTATTTTAACTGACAATTGCGTGGTCATGCAACGCTGCACCCAAATTAAATTTATGTCCTTTTTTTCCCACGAATTAAGCTCTCTTTTGGTGGTATTTGATTGCCTGTGCAGTTTTAATTTTATTTGCACTATAAAAAAAAAAAAAAAAAAATACAGAGAAGAAAAAAAAAGGGACCAACAATTTTGAGGAAAAAAAAAAAACCAACAATATTTTTAAATTTTTGCTATTAAACACTTGCCTACTGGGCACTTCTACCCCCTTCCTGCCCAGGTCAATTTTCAGCTTTCAGCGCTATCGTACCTTGAATGACATTTGCTCGGTCATGCAAAATTGTACCCATATGACATTTTTATCATTTTTTTTTCACACAAATATAGCTTTCTTTGGGTGCTATTTAATCGCCGCTGGGCTTTTATTTTTTGCGCTTTAGATGAAAAAAAAAAAAAAAAGAGCAAAATAATTTGAAAAAAAAAAAAAAAACTGTTTGTTTCTATTATAAAATGTTGCAAACAGGTAATTTTTCTCCTTCACTGATGTGTGTTGATGATGAGGCTGCACGGATAGGCAGCAGTAATAGGCAGCACTAATGAGCTGGCACTGATAGGCGACACTGATGGGTGGCCCTGATGATCCGTGCTGATCCCTGCTGATCCCTTCGCTGACAATTGCCAGTTCTCGGCAGTACTTTCCGCATGCTGTGACAGTGTGAGCCGCAAGTGCAGCCGATAACCGGCAACTGTATTTACCTGGTGATCTGCTGTGTCCGTAGGACACAGCCATCACCAGTGGCACTGGGTACCGCTCCAGCACTTCCTCACAAAGCCAAAACTTGCCAACCCTATCCAGCCTCATGCACATTACTACTGGCTAGTAAGGTAACCCACATATATTTTTACACATGTTGATGTATACACTTACAGGTACTTGGAGAGCAGTGGTTTGTAGAGGAGTAGCAAGTGTTGTGATTGCAGGATTCTGAACAGTAGTCATCATCGGACTACCATCTGCCTTCAGAGCAGTCAGCACCAGAGATTCTGTTTTTATAATCTGAGGTTGTACCAAAACCTAGAGATGGAAGATAAAAAAAAATACTGATTAAAAATGTTCAGATATTAGGAGACAATGCAGCACAAAAAGGCAGAGCAACAATCACATAAAGTTAGTGAAGGGATTATAATTTTTTTTTAATTTTTACTGTATTATAGAATTTTATCTGTACCAGCAAGCCATTTTTCTACACGAAGTATGACAGACAAAATGTATGACTTTTCTTTGGTTTATACAGCTAAAGATTTTTTTTTTTTTTTTAACTTCTCTTGCCTTCTACAGTAGCGATTTATACAGTCTGGAAAAATACTACTAGGATATATGCAGTTAAAACAAAAATCTTTTATTTGAATTTGGCTAACCATACTCACAGAAACCTATACTTTTAGGTAAAAATCAATCCTCAGAAGCTTGCATTAGCATTGCAAGGTGATGCTTTTGCATTAAATGACACTGCGATAATTAGCTAGCTTTGTCCACAATTCAAAGGAAAAAAAAACTGTCATCTCTCAGAATCCTATAGCTATTTCATGTCAAAAACAGGGGTGATAGGTGATGGAGGTAAATTGAGCATTCAGATCAAGGAGATTGTTAAATAGCTATTCCCAAACTGTAATGGCAAAAAGAGTAAAAAAACAAAACAAAAAACTTACAGGAACTTGCTGAACCTGCGGTGTCACTGTCTGTACTGTAGCTGGGGTCAGTGTCTGGATAGTGCTCTGATGGGCTGGGCTCAGGGCTTGGATTGTTCCATTAGCAGTGTGGGTTAGTACACGCTGGGCTTGAACCGTCTGGACCTGCTGCTGGATAGCAACAGGCTGAACTTGCTGAGTTGTCATAAGGCTCGGAAGCTGTGGTTGCAGCACTGTAAATAGATATACACAAAGATGAACAAAGATTAATCACACTTTTTTTGAAAAATGTTATTCTTCCAGAGCACACAGTAGGAAATGAGGAGTAAGGTATTCTGTTCCTGGTTGAAGCTAGCTGGGCCGGGGGGGGGGGGGGGTGATGTCCAGTGGTGAATGTTACTGGCATGTCACATTAATGCCACTCCACTTCCAGTAGCCAGCCAAGCAAGTTTCAGAGGTGCATCCAAATCAGCATCTCTGGCATGCTCACAACCCCAGAAATGGATTGATTACTTAGCCATGAGGCCCTGTTCCCGTTTCGCGACTTGGGATCGCAGGCAAAATCACAATGAACCCCAAAATTGCGTAGCAATCGCAGCACAATGTGTTGTGCGTGTTTGGGTGCCATTATCCTTTAATGGCATCTCAACCACGATGCATTTCTGATTGTCACAGATGCAAATCGCATAAAGTTTGTCTCCCAAAAAGCAGCAGAAGCTTCTTTCTGGGTGACAAATGCACATAGGGCAGCCCATTCAAGTGAATGGGCTGCTCTACGTAACACACAAAATTGCATGAAAATTGCAATGTCCAAATCCCTGGTCAACCGCCTGAATTTCAATCCATGTATGGCAGCATTAAGGGAGAAGTCCATGACCTCAGGGCAATAGCAAAAAACTGAGGTCTTACAGACTGGGGTAGGTGTATAGTGGTATGCACAAAGGACGTGTCCAAAAGAATTGCCAGTGTCCAATTGCCTGAAAATAGCAACCTATAATAGGGATGCACCAAAATTTCGGCCACCGAAACATACCGGACAAAAATAGTCCTATCATCATTTTGCCGATAGGAAACATTTAACTGATACAGGAGACTGTGTACTGCAGATGTGAGGTGGCGGCTGAGAAAGGTAGGAGAGGAGGAGTGTATACAGTGACTGTCACTATATGTCAGTGCCGGTTTTTAAATGTAATTACAGCTTTATTTTTCTTCACTATAGCTCACAGAATTAGCTGTCACTTTACCCCCAGCTAAAAGAAACAAAGCTTCCTTTTAGTTTATTTCCCTGAGTTAAAAGAAACAAAAAAAGTTTCCTTTTAGTTTATTTCCCGAGATAAAAGAAAAAGTTTCCTTTAGCTCTGGGAAAAGTGACAGCCAATTCTGTGAGCTGTAGTGAAGAAAAAAAAAAAAAAAAAGCCAGCAATTGCATTTAAAAACCGGCACTGACATATAGTGACATCCAGTGAGGGAGCTTCTCTGTATACACTGCTCCCTTACTGTATACACTGCTCCCCTCCTTGCACACACTGCCCCCACCCCCTCCAAAGAAGACCTGTCACTCATATGCTATCACATATGGTCCCCTATGTGATAGCAATAAAATAAGTTAAAAAAAATAAATAAAAAGATACATGAAAAGTAGAAAGAAAAAAAAAAAAAAATTGGAGCCTCCCCACGCCCACATACGCAGACATTTCGGTTCGGTTTTCAGCCACATGCATTCTGAATTTTCGGTATCGGTTTTGGCACCAGAATTTTCATTTTGGTGCACCACTAACCTATAAATATCCAACCTCTGTCCTGTACTGTATGACTAAGATAACAAAACTAATGCAGGTACCTCATCAAAGTACTGGTTAGCTGCTATATATCACATTTTTGTTTCTGGTTTTGGATAAACTTTATTTATCTATTTAATTTTCTTTCCTTTAATTCATACCTATATCCCCACTTTAAGATTCCACTATGGGTTGACACCAGTACAAGTGCACACAAGTCAAGAATGACAAAGTACATGACAGATTACCAACAAAATGAATGCATGATTTTAAACAAACAAAAAAAATATTAAAGATTCTAACCCTGAAAGCTTGTGGTTGCAGCATTCTGGTAGATGAGTGGCTGCTGTATTATTCGAGTCTGGGGAGCGGTGCTAAATGTCGGTGCCAACATAACAGTTTGCTGCTGCAATTGAGGCGCAGACTGGACTACTGGTCTTGGTTGAAGGAGAGGAGTGGTCCTCTGGGGAACAGCTTGAACATGAGCCTTTATAGACACTACTGGAAGCTGTGGTGCTGAAGTCTGAAAGTTCTGTGGCTGGATCTGGTTATAAGTCTTGGGCAAAGTGCTATCCATCCCAGTACTTCCTTGGTAGCTGGAACATAGCTGATCTTCAAATAGGTCAGGGAATTCTCCAACTTGGTTACTAACAAACTGAAGCATTTCTGGAATAAAGGAGAAAGAAAAAAAAAACACTGTATTAAACAGATAGAAGCCGTATACATTACTTTAAAACATTTGACGATACTTTATTTTAAATATTTGACCATTATCATCAGGCCAAAATAATGGAAATAAACTATAGGACTAGGCTAAGGACTAGAAAGCTACAACAGACTACATCTTGTTCTTGGGTTTAGCTATGCTTTCTGTTTATTTTCCTCTTGGAAAACAATAAAACATTTTTTAAAACAGGCTCATAGTGTTCAGGAATATACAAAAACGACTAGCATAAACCATGTAAACAACAGAAATTTTCCAATAACGAAAGCCACAGAGGTGCCAAAACCTGAGGTTAATGTAGTGGAACCCCTAAGGCTGGAAATGTTGCCATCTCAGGGCAGGTGCACTCAAAGGTGCTAACCACCTACGAGAGTGCGATCTCCCGGAAGAAGAAACTGGAAAGAAACAGAAGGAAGTAGAAAGAGGAAAAAAACGGGCTAGAGAGAGAAGGAAGGCAAGGAGAAGGGAGAAGGAAACAGAACTTCCTGGACTGGTGGAAAACGAGGAGATCCACGGTTCCCAGACCTTGGGAAATGGAATGTGAATCTTTCAAAATACTGGACATTTGCTCATTCAGCATCAGAGCAGCCATACATGCCTTCACACCTTGAAAGGCAATAGGACGGGGTTAATATGGTGCTCAGCTACAGACCTATTCAAAATATACGTGGAACCACCCTTCACAACACTTCCTGCAACTCTCATATGGTTTTCACTTATTTACTTGCATTCCAGAAATCATCCATAGGTGTCACTTCTATTGGCTTTTTGAACTTGTGTGTTCAAACAAGCAACCAGTCTAAGGCTACGTTCACACTAGCCTTGTTAGCAAGCGGCAGACAGGCGTTTGGGAAGCGTTTTTACCGTTTCCCAAACGCCTGGGAAAATTCTGCACATTGCAGCACATAGTACTGTTTAAACAGGAGTGTCAGCGTCGCGGCAAAACGGATGCCTCTGGTCGAGTCAGGAGGAGTTGAAGCCTCCAATTCAAGTCTATGGTGCCGCTCCGTAAACGCCCGGCCGGCGTTTGCAGTGCGGTTGCGACGGTAACACCATTCAAACTTCATTATAGGCATTTGCGGGGCATTTTTAACACTTGGCAAACGCCTAGCAACCGCCGCTAACCCGCGCATGCGGTGTTTGCGGAGCGTCTGCGGAGGCGCTATAGGGGCATTTGGCAAGAGTTGGAAAAACAGTCAAGTGTGAACGAGCCCTAAGGTGATTACACACATCCCCCTAGAACTGCCTGAAATTAATGCTGGATTTCTGATCTACTCTAAAAACCTCATTACTTCTTTAGATATAGGAGTTCTCACAGCTGCTCGGAGCTAAAAGCAGTGACAATCAGCCCCCCCCCCCCCACAACGCTCACTAGAACACTGGGCTGTGGAGAGGGAGGAATCGCCGAGAGGCTGAGCCAGGTGCCGCTCCACACTCCAGGATGGATCCTGACTTTGAAGTGTACACACCCTTTTATTATTACAATAAGTGAATAAAGTCTCCATGGCAGCAATGTTCCATTCATACATAGGTTTTTATTCTTGGCGACCATGTGTAATTCTAAGGAGACACTGAACTAGAAAAATCCTGAACCAGAAAGTGTGCACACCTGAAGAAGAGATACTGAGTGTTGCTTCATGTTCTGATGTGTACAATGTGTAGATACACTATATTGTCAAACGTTCTGGGACCACCCTGAATACAGGTGTAATATTTTAAAAAAGGTGAACTTATCCTTTAGGTCTCATTCACACCACGCACGCAAGAAAACTGATGGAAATTGACGCGCAGACTTCACTTGCAGAGACATAAGTTTTCATGTGTGCTTCATGAGTTTTATACACAATGCACATTCTTGCGCAGAAAAAATTTGCACATGATACTAGTGTTGAGGTGTGAACAGGGCATATACAGAACAACTGATTTTGTTGTGCTCTTGCAGAACACGTGCAGAAAAACTGATGTCTCTGCTCCATGCTGTGAACAAGCCCTTAATTAGTCACTTTCCCTGATGACATGTGTATTGATTAATATTTAACATCAGTTTGAATGTGATTGGTTCATTCTGAACACAGCCACATTCCTAAAAAAAAAAAAAAAGGGACAAATTGGTACCCTCAAAGGGTCCATGGAAAGCCTTATAGTGTATAGTAAAATATTATAGTTTATTACAAATCATGTAAAGACATCATAAAATTGACAATAAATATCTTAGGTGAAGTGATGAAATGGAGGAAGACATACACTATATTGCCAAAAGTATTGGGACACCTGCCTTTACATGCACATGAACGTCAAATGACATCCCAATCTTAGTCCGTAGGGTTCAAGATTGAGTTAGCCTACCCTTTGCAGCTTTAACAGCTTCAACTCTTCTAGGAAGGCTGTCCACAAGATTTAGGAGAGTGTCTATGGGAATGTTTGACCATTCTTCCAGAAGCGCATTTGTGAGATCAGGTACTGATGTCGGACGAGAAGGTCTCCGCTTCAATTCATCCCAAAGGTGTTCTATTGGGTTGAGATTAGGGCTCTGTACAGGCCAGTCAAGTTCCTCCACCCCAAACTCGCTCATCCATGTCTTTATGGACCTTACTTTGTGTACTGGTGTGCAGTCATGTTGGAACAGGAAGGGGCCATCCCCAAACTGTTCCCACAAAGTTGGGAGCATGAAATTGTCCAAAATGTCTTGGTATGCCGACGCCTTAAGAGTTCCCTTCACTGGAACTAAGGGGCCAAGCCCAACCCCGGAAAAACAATCCCACACCATAATCCCCCCTCCACCAAACTTTACACTTGGCACAGTGCAGTCACACAAGTACCGTTCTCCTGGCAACAGCCAAACTCAGACATGTCCATCGGATTGCCAGACAGAGAAGCATGATTTGTCACTCCAGAGAACCAGTGGCGGCGTGCTTTATACCACTGCATCCAACGTTTTGCATTGCACTTGGCGATGTAAGGCTTGGATGCAGCTGCTCCGCCATGGAAATCCATTCTGTGAAGCTCTCTATGCACTGTTGTGCTAATCTGAAGGCCACATGAAGTTTGGAGGTCTTTAGCTATTGATCTGCAGACAGTTGGCGACTTCTGCACACCGTGCACTTCAGCATGCACTGCCCATGCTTTGTCATTTTACGCGGCCTACCACTTCGAGGCTGAGTTGCTGTTGTACCCACTTGCTTCCACTTTGTTATAATACCACTAACAGTTGACCGTGGAATATTTAGTAGCAAGGAAATTTCATAGATGGACTTATTGCACAACCTATCATGGTACCACACTTCAATTCACTGAGCTCCTGAGAGTGATCCATTCTTTCACAAATGTTTGTAGAAGCAGTCTGCATGCCTAGGTGCTTGATTTTATACACCTGTGGCCATGGAGGTGATTGGAACCCCTGAATCCAATGATTTGGAGGGGTGCCCCAATACTTTTGTCAATATAGTGTATGTATTATATTGTTATCTTTAAGTGGTTCTAAAGGCTTTTTTTTTTTTTTTACCTTCATGCATTCTATTCATGAAGGTAAAAAATCTTCAGTGTGCAGCTCAGTCTGCAGGCCCCCTCCCCCAATTTTTACCTGAGCCCCATCTCGATCCATCAATGTGCACAAGAGCAGCATCTCTCCCTCATTGGCTCTCACTGCTGTCAATCACAGCCAGTAAGGGAGGTTCAGGGCCGCGCCGCGCTGTGTGTGTCTTATAGACACACAGAGGCAGCTCAGGAGCGAGCATGCAGGAATGCAGGGGGAGCACTCAACAGGGAGGAGGGGTCAGGAGCGCCAGCAGGGAAGATCAGGGCTGCTTTGTGCAAAATCACAGCACAGAGAAGGCAAGTATGACATGTTTGTTATTTAATAATAATAATTTAAAAAAAACATCTCAACCTTTAGTATCACTTTAAGTAATGACAAAGCTGTTGACTAATAAACAGGTCGATAGCAGAAATGTAAAAATTGCTCTGGTCCATAGGGGGTGATGAGGAGTGAGAGACAAAGTGGTTAAGCTTCAGTTTTAGGACACGCAGGAAGTTTTAAAAATGCTCCTCCTCTTTGCGGCAGCATTTTGGCAGAAGAAAACGCCTTATGCTTGCAAAAGTGTCTAACGCGTTTTTACTGGCGTCAAGCGTTGCTTGGGCAATAATTTCATTGGCCAGGATAATAATTTATTCTGGCCATTGAAATGAAATGATCAAGTGCTAAACGCGCCTAGCGGTTACACGCATCAAACATTTTTTTTCCTGCTAAAATGCTGCTGCTCTTGGACGCCCTGGCCCTGTTTTTTTTTTTCCCTGCCTGTAAACGCCCTTGCCACTGAAAGCTTCTAAATGTCTATTTGTGCATGAACACACAGGATAATGTGAGGCCTTAACTGCAATCCCCCACTTCACAGGCACGAAGCTGAATACCAGCTCACACAGAACAACTAGAGTGCTGCTTATCTCAACCACATCAATCCTACTGGAAGGCTGTGCTTTTTGCTTTACACAGATTCTATACATTTTTAAAAAATGCCTGCAGTTCTTGCTGAGAGATGTACAGAATTCATTTTTAGGATTCCTTTACACTGACCAGATATGTAAAACACACAAAGTTTGTTAAGGTTTACACTTATGTATGTAAATGTCTTATAAACTACCCATTCATTCCATTACTCTATCCAAAAAGAAAAAAAAGCTTCTGTCTAAAGTTCTGCTTTAAGATATATACTTAAAATTTCTTTAGGAAACAAAAGTGAGTTTATGACTCCGGGGCCATAGTCAATGATTTTTTTTTTACAATATTGAATTCCCATTGGGACAGAGTACATGTAGTCATTCATCTCATCACCCTAAATGCCCTGTAACACTAACTATGATGGTGGAGGAGGAGCCCCCCCCCATTCCATTATCACAGCTAGCAAGTAGACAGCTGCATTTGGCTGGATTCACACTATAGCGGTGC